AGTGCCTGAAAGTGGCGATCTCAAAGATCTTCCAACCAGTTTTTATCTCAATGGCTTGATTGATGTGCTGGCAATCAAAGAGTGCAAAAGCAGCCCAGTAAAATGTGGAAATTGTGACAAAAAAAGCTTCGAAACTTCTTACTGTTTCCACTGTTGCATATTTTATTGTCAAGGGTGCGTAACTGGACACAACATCATGCGAAGCAATAAAGATCACCATGTTCTGGCGCTCAAAGACTTTCAAGACAAGGACTATGAAGATGTGTTAAAGCGGCCTGTGTTTTGTCCTAAACAGGGACATACGGAAGAAGAACTGAAATTCTTTTGCAAGGACTGTGAAACGGCAGTTTGCCAAACTTGTGTCACATTAGGCCACAAAAGCCATACAATGAACTTAATCCAAGAAGAAGCAGAAACACAGAAGATTCAGATGAAATCAATGGTTGAAACACAGAGGAACAATTTAAAAGCAAAGATGAACATCATTCCTCGACTTGATAAAGACTACGCTAAGCTCATACAACAAGGCGAAGACGTGAAGACAGATGTTCAAAAAATTGTTGACAATTTGATTGCCGTCATTGAAGCGAAGAAACAAAGTATTTTCTCAGCCGTGGATAATCAGACAACCAAATCGCTAGAAAGTCTGACAAAGCGTAAGAACAAGATCGAGGAACAAATAATGGTCATAGAAGCGTCGCTAGAAAAGGCTGAAAAACTTTTAACACGAAGTATAAACGCTGAAGTTGTACAACTCAAGAAATCATTGGAGAGCATCTTCGAAGGAGTTGATCAAACCGAGCCAATTGATGGCGACCCTAAAGGTCTTCTAGTGCGTTTAACTTTCGCGGAAAATCAAAAGCTGGTAAACATTGTGAACTCCGAAGAAATTGGTTCTTTGGAAATTATGCACCAAACAAAAGCAAGTCAGTGCATCGCTGAGGGCAAAGGACTCGAGCAAGGTACTGTTGGAGGTGAAGCACAATTTGTTCTGACGACAAGAGACGCTCAAGCAAGACAGTGTTACAACAAACACGACCGTGTAACGGTAGAGATCAGTAATGAACAAGGACGAGAATGCGCGACGGAAGTACGAATAAATGACAATAAGGATGGAAGCTACACGATCAGCTATCCTCCAAAAGAACAAGGCAGATACAAAGTGACAGTAAAAGTAAACGGAGGACATGTTCTCGGCAGTCCTTTCACCGTTGAAGGACAGCCATTTCAGGTCAGACCTGTATTATCTTTTGGAAAATTTGGTTCGTCTGCTGGAATGTTTCAGAAACCCTGGGGGGTGGCAGTGAATGCCAGGGACGAGATAGCTGTAACTGATTGTGAGAACCACAGAGTTCAAATCTTCAGTAGTGATGGAAATTACTTAAGATCCTTTGGTCGGCAAGGGGTTCAACCCGGGGACTTTAAGTTTCCAAGGGGAATAGCATTTCATGAAAATGGAGATATTTTCGTGGTTAACAGTGGAAAAAATAGGATAGACATTTTCAGTGGGGATGGTAAGTACGTAGGTTCGATTGGTGGGTATGGAAGTTTTGATAGTCAGCTCTCTGATCCTCATGGTTTATCTGTAGACAGTGATGGAAATGTTATTGTTGCCGATACAGGTAACAAACTTATTAAGATCTTTTCTTCTCAAGGCAAGTTTCTAATGAAGATAGGTGAGCAAGGTTCTTTTACTTTTCCTTTCCACTGTGTTCAGTGTGATAGATTTCTTATAGTGTCAGACTTCGGTGAACATTGTCTGAAAGTTTACGACAGGACTGGAAACTTTCAGTACAAAATTGGAAAGCACGGTGGAGGGCACGGGGAGTTTATTTATCCACATTGTTTGTCAGTGAACAAGTCAGGACACCTGATGGTCTGTGATTACCACAATAAGAGAATACAAGTATTTACTCTAAATGGAAAGTTTGTTGGCAAGTTTGGATCAAAGGGCAGAAATTTAGGAGAGTTCAAATCTCCATGGTCTTTGGCAGTTCTAAGTAATGGCCGAATTGTTGTGTCTGACTGTTATAACCATCGTATGCAGATATTTGAGTGAAACGATGTCTGCTTCAACTTATGATAAGTGTCATTATTTTGTTGTTAAAGCATTAGCCTCGGCTTAGCTGATGATGAAGAAAAGAAATTCAACCACACAAGGACAAAATATTACTATGTCCGTAATCCCAATGAAGGTGATTATTTTGTCAATTTTACATTAAAACACACACCGTCGGAAAATCACAATTGTCGTCTTTTTGTAAGCAGTGCAGATGGATGAAAATATCCGCGAGTTCCAATCAATTTTTTGAGAAGTATACATTATTCCAAAAAGTTAATATTCCAAGTTGTGATTTTGAGCTAGTATACAATGTTAATATTCTCCGCCTAAACCGCCAGAATAATATTTTTTCTTTCAAACATATCAGCCATCACAACATTTAATGTTTGATTTTGCTATAGTCTTTATTCGGTAATTGACAAGCAATCGTTTATAAGGATTGTATTTAACTAGTCAGTTGTTTGATTTTCCAAATTTCTCAGCTTGATCGATAAGCTGATGTATGCATGGTGATATTGTTTAACCAATTTTAGTAATATTTTTGTAGAGAGGTATTCAAGGCCTGTGAATGCACCATTGAAGTTGGAGCTAAAAATGGTAAATTTAAAACATAGGAATATTGTGCAGTGCACCTGAAGATTTGATTTAGTGTGTAAAAACATATTTTATCCGGTATAAGAAATAACATAGCCTGGTGGGGGTAATTTAATTTGTGTAATTAACAAATCGAATGTGGTTTAGCGTTCTCTGTACTCTTATGATCTCTCATCGACAATGATATGCGTCATCACAGCGGTCAAAATGTTGTGGACTGACGAGGCGCAGCCGAGTGAGTCCACAACAAATTTCAACGTCAAAGAAAATGTTTTTTTCAGAGCGTGACCAAAAGCGTGACACATTGACACGAGTAGTTTGTCTGGACTCTTATCGACAACGACAAATTAGCCAGATTAGTAGCAATTGTGGTAAAAGTTAGCATAACCTACCGACCGATCTATCACACAGAAAATAGGTTTTATTTCAGAAACTCCACGAAGCCATTTTCAAAGATTTATCATGACCGGCTCTACAAGTTCAGTCTATCAATCTCTAGACGGCCCCCTGTGAAAATAATATCATTGTGTGTTTCCTGATAGTCGATTAGAGGTTATGCTAATAATCATTAGTTTTGTTTATATCATTATTATTCAATAATTTGCTGTTTCTATTGTTCTACTAAACATAACATTTGAGAAAAAAAAGTTCTACCTTTTTACTGAAAGAACAAAATAGTTTCTAGCTGTTGGAAATACTTGAGTACGTTTTATGTGAGGTTTTCAATAAAGTTTGTTTGAGTCTAACTGAAGTTGCTTTATATTTTGTGTATATGACCTGTGTACAGCTATTATTTTGCATGCCGTTGCATATTTTTCAAAACGTCTGTCTTTCTAGTAACACGAACATGACATTTGTTTCGTAATACAGCAATAGGCTGAAGACAGGTAGACTACGAGTAGTCCCTCTTTCGCTTAGTCCTTCGCTCATGACGCGAAAGGAAACTGCGAGAAAAATGCCCGCTCGAATTCGCGCGGCCATTTTTTTCTCGCGGTTTTCTTTCGCGTCACGGACAACGGACTAAGCGAAAGAGGGACTACTCGTAGTCTAGAAGACAGGGTAAAGTACAGGTGAAGACTTCAAATAAATTACATGAGTCAATTCAAAATTAATAGCTCTAGCGTGTAACGCAAGATTGATTTGTAATTATGATTGATTTCGGACGAGAGATAATATTGTGCATAGTAATAGCAATATCTGAAACATTTTGAGCGAGAAAAAGCCTGGCCGTTCTTAGGTTTGTTTTGCTATTTGCGCCTGAAAATATCTGTCGAGATGTTCTTGAGTTACATGTATTGGCATTTCAGTGAATAATGCGTGAGTGCCCAGGAACTTATCAAAGTGCTTAATTATTTTGCTTGTTAGCAGCTGTTATTGTTTTGGAGCTAGGGGGCATTGTTTCTGTTGTTTGTTCTATTATCCTCTTAAAGGGTATCAAGCCATTCATGTGATACCTTACAAGAGCTGCTACCCGACCCCTAGTACAACGACGACAATTGCAATGACAGAAGAACAAAACAGATCAACTCAAGGCGTCCGTTTATGAGGTGGCTGCCTACAGAAATTAATGTCAACGTACTTTTCTGTAGCGTCCACTCTAGTGCGCCGGAGAAATTTGAAAACGCAGCTTTATTTCTACGGTTAGGCCTACCGTCCACACTA